CATGGCCGTCGTGCTGCCTAATTTTTGTCCTCTGGGTACCCAAGTCTGAAGCCCCCCCTCCCCCAGGAAAAAAAAAATTATGTAAAGTCCTGAATGGCGACCCCATTCCATGCTCCAAGGAGCCTGTGCGCTCCCGCTCCCCCCCCCCATCACATTCTGTTTTACACTTGGACAGGAGGGACGGTGGGGGCGGCATATACAGTCAGGTCCATAAATATTGGGACATCGACACAATTCTAACATTTTTGGCTCTATACACCACCACAATGCATTTGAAATGAAACAAGATGTGCTTTAACAGCAGACTGTCAGCTTTCATTTGAGGGTATTTACATCCAAATCAGGTGAACGGTGTAGGAATTACAACAGTTTGCATATGTGCCTCCCACTTGTTAAGGGACCAAAAGTAATGGGACAATTGGCTTCTCAGCTGTTACATGGCCAGGTGTGTGTTTATTCCCTCATTATCCCAATTACAATGAACAGATAAAAGGTCCAGAGTTCATTTCAAGTGTGCTATTTTCATTTGGAATCTGTTGCTGTCAACTCTCAAGATGAGATCCAAAGAGCTGTCACTATCAGTGAAGCAAGCCATCATTAGGCTGAAAAAACAAAACAAACCCATCAGAGAGATAGCAAAAACATTAGGCGTGGCCAAAACAACTGTTTGGAACATTCTTAAAAAGAAGGAACGAACCAGTGAGCTCAGCAACACCAAAAGACCCGGAAGACAACGGAAAACAACTGTGGTGGATGACCGAAGAATTCTTTCCCTGGTGAAGAAAACACCCTTCACAACAGTTGGCCAGATCAAGAACACTCTCCAGGAGGTAGGTGTATGTGTGTCAAAGTCAACAATCAAGAGAAGACTTCACCAGAGTGAATACAGAGGGTTCACCACAAGATGTAAACCATTAGTGAGCCTCAAAAACAGGAAGGCCAGATTAGAGTTTGCCAAACGACATCTAAAAAAGCCTCCACAGTTCTGGAACAACATCCTATGGACAGATGAGACCAAGATCAACTTGTACCAGAGTGATGGGAAGAGAAGAGTATGGAGAAGGAAAGGAACTGCTCATGATCCTAAGCATACCACCTCATCAGTGAAGCATGGTGGTGGTAGTGTCATGGCGTGGGCATGTATGGCTGCCAATGGAACTGGTTCTCTTGTATTTATTGATGATGTGACTGCTGACAAAAGCAGCAGGATGAATTCTGAAGTGTTTCGGGAATATTATCTGCTCATATTCAGCCAAATGCTTCACAACTCATTGGATTCCGCTTCACAGTGCAGATGGACAATGACCCAAAGCATACTGCAAAAGCAACCAAAGAGTTTTTTAAGGGAAAGAAGTGGAATGTTCTGCAATGGCCAAGTCAATCACCTGACCTGAATCCGATTGAGCATGCATTTCACTTGCTGAAGACAAAACTGAAGGGAAAATGCCCCAAGAACAAGCAGGAACTGAAGACAGTTGCAGTAGAGGCCTGGCAGAGCATCACCAGGGATGAAACCCAGCGTCTGGTGATGTCTATGCGCTCCAGACTTCAGGCTGTAATTGACTGCAAAGGATTTGCAACCAAGTATTAAAAAGTAAAAGTTTGATTTATGATTATTATTCTGTCCCATTACTTTTGGTCCCTTAACAAGTGGGAGGCACATATGCAAACTGTTGTAATCCCTACACCATTCACCTGATTTGGATGTAAATACCCTCAAATTAAAGCTGACAGTCTGCAGTTAAAGCACATCTTGTTCATTTCATTTCAAATCCATTGTGGTGGTGTATAGAGCCAAGAATGTTAGAATTGTGTCGATGTCCCAATATTTATGGACCTGACTGTACATGAAGTGATCCTCTCCATTTTCCTCTTGAAACCGCTGAAAGTTGGCTTCTCCTCCTCTCCATCACACCGGCATTCAGCAGGTGCAGTAGGAAAATGCTCATTATGCTATTTGAAAATTAGAAAAAGAGAAAATCGGAATTCTGAACCATTTCATTTCAATGTAACCCGCCACCAGTTACCAAATCACTTAAGTGGCCCTTGCTCTTCAAAACGTTGAGCACACCTGGCTTGTACATTTGCTTGTATAGTTTATTTTAACAACAATGTTGTGTTTTCTTGTTGCTGGCATTGGATGTGATGTTCTTCTGAAGTAAAGAAGCTATTTTCTGTGTTAACCATGTATTATGCAACTATGCGGGAATGGCGAATAAAAACAAGTCTTGAAGAGTTGTATAAGACTCCAGTGAGGGTGACCCTATAATAATAGGGGTCCCAGGATCTATGCTGCAGGTGCCACTTCCTTTTGGGAAACCAGAGAATTCATCCCCATCAGCAATATGGACTAAGGCCACCCGTTGCAGAACTGTCCTCTGTGTGTCTTTGAAAACACATTTTGCATTCTGTAGCAGAAAACTAGTCCCAAAGGGAGGCAAGGTCTCACATAGCCACAAATGGAAGCAGCCGATGCAGAGGAAAGTCCCAGGGGACCAGAGGCAGGGAAGTCACTGCAGGTGAGCAGTGAAATGGAACCAGATTATTTATGAGGTTTCTCAAAGCAGGAGCAGCAACAGGAAAGTGCATTCCTCAAGGCTGAATGGTAGAAGGAACGCAGTGTGCTCAATACTTCACCTAGCGGATTGCACTCAGTTTCCCAGGTCTAATCATTACCATGTTTAGGTGGAGATGCAAGGAATTTTGAAATGGAGCCAAATGATACCAATGGTGTGGTAGATCAGTGTTCCCAGTTCTCATCGACCTAACTTAGTACTTGAGTCCTCAGAGACTGAGTCACAGCATGGATCTTGAGAGTGCTCTACTGCTAGCTAACACAGTACACAGAGGTGTGGAAAAAGCCACAATACAGAGCCCAAGGCCTGAAGGTCGCATTCCAGGCTAACCCTGCAATCTTCAGTCCAGTAAGGTCTGGGTCCAGTCTTCTTTCACAGATGGATAGTGGTGCCATTAAAGTGTTCTTAAACCCACAACAGTAAAATCAGTCTGTATATACCAGAGGTATTCAAACTTTGTTTGCCTTTATCTGTCCCTTTGGGCACTATTCTTTCTACAGATACGAGGCACTATTCCTTCCACTAACACCAAATACAGGGCACTATTCCTGCCACTGACACCAATGATGGGGCACTATCTCCCACTAATACCAATGATGGGACACTATTCCTCCCACTGACACCAACAATGGGGCATCATTCCTCCCACCAATACCAATCATGGAGCACTATTCCTTCAACTAATACCAATGATGGGGCACTATTAATCCTACTGAACAACAAGCCTATGGCATTGTTTACTCTCAGGTAAGAGTCGTGGTGATTTTTTTAAAGTTAATACCAGGGCATTATTTTTACTCCCACTAGCCACAGTCCGGCCTCCCTGAAGTTTGAAGGGCACTAAACTGGCCCATTGTTTTGAAAGTTTGGAGACCCCTGGTATGTGCAGTAAAGCATGCTTGTTATACTCACTGCGGAACCAGTTTGGTCCAGTCTTCTCTGATCCTCCCCTTCTTTTCATCTGCCATAGTACAGAGTAGAAGAGGCAAGTCTGTACATGCTCTGTTTGGTGTGTATTGCTAGAGAGTTTTTTTTTTTTTTTAGAAAGATGTATGTGATCAGCACAGGGCCAATCAGCACTGTCTGGACAGAGGCTCAGGGGCCATGCAGCCTCATAGGACAGTCAGAGGTGAATGTAAACTCCTCCTACAAGATTAACTAGTGCTCAGTGGGACACTAAGGCTACGTTCACACTAGCCTTGTTTGCAAGCGGCAGACAGGCGTTTGGGAAGCGTTTTTTTGCGTTTCCCAAAGGCCTGTGAAAATTCTGCACATTGTGCTGTTCACACGGGAGCGTTGCGTCGCGGAAAAATGGATGACTCTGGTCGAGTCAGGAGGAGTTGAAGCCTCCTATTCAAGTCTATGGTGTCGCTCCGCAAATGCCCGGCCGGCGTTTGTGGTGCGGTTGCGGGGCGTTTGCGGAGCGTTAACACCATTCAAACTTCATTATAGGCGTTTGTGGGGTGTTTTTAAGGCTTGGCAAACAGTAAATCTCACGTTGAGGGCAATTTGCCTAATATTTGCTTTCTGGTTCTGGCTTATAGATCTATCAGAAGAGAACAGTATTTTCTAAACAGCCCGAATTCTTGAGACAACAAAAATGGTATCCAAAGCCCTCGCCTGTAATCTTGTGTACCACCTAATGATGTTGCTCCCAAACTGAGTTTTAAAAATAATATATATTCTTGTTTTAGACACTGTGGTCAAGCAGGAAGTATGCACCACATGTGGTGGCAATGCCCCAAGATTACATATTCTGGATTAGAACCTTCACTTTAACTGAATAGATATTCCCAGGATTCCTGAAAAAGCCCTGTTCCAAAAACTGGACATGGAGACTTCCAAACACCTAAAAAAACCTGATATAGTATTATGGTGGCTAGAATTGCAATCTGAATTCCTGGTCCCGCATGAGGATTTACCAGTCCAGAGAGCACTGTAAATCAGTCCTCCTCTCTGACCAGACTACTCTGCATGGGTGAGAACCCCCTGAGTAATCAAAAATGTGTTCCCATTGTCCCCCCTAAAAGGGACCACAACCCAAATAGTAGGGATGCATATCTCCCATCCAGGACCCATCCCTGGCATTTTGTACAATATTTAATGGTTGCAGAAAAAGTATTTACCTACTGTTAACAGAAGGGACAATAAATGGCATGCTGTTTTCAATTTTGTTCCTCTGATAGCAGGGAAATCAAGTACAAGGTATTGCCATCCAAAAATGAAGACTGGCAAGTAAGCAATAATTCCAAGATAATACCCATCTACCTAACAATGCCAAATAAGTCATACGGTGTCTCAATTTAAAAACTAGTAATATAATTGCCAGGTGAAATTTATAAAATACGAATAATAGAATGAAATACTGTTTTTGCTTTTCTTTGGAGCTAATTACTTTATGGGTTCTTGTTCTCTTCTCAATAGGAGACAAAGACCAATTCATTTAAGCTTTGACATAGATGCATTTGATCCATCCTTGGCAGCAGCTACCGGAACACCAGTAATTGGAGGGTTAACTTATAGAGAGGGAATCTATATTACAGAAGAAATACACAGCACAGGTAAGTTTCAAGAAATTCAATTTAAAATACATGGATTAAGGCAGTGCAAACTAAACATTGTTTTTATATTGGATTAAGGAGGTCAATGACATTCAGAGAATGAAAAGCCATATATCTTCATTGCCAGTAAGAAAAAATTCAGGAGAACCTGGCACTTTCAGCATGAATTTCAATTCACACCAGAGTCTAAAACTATCCTTTCTACTTGAAGAGGATAGACATGAAATGATATCAAAACACAGGCTAACTAAGGGCCTTGTTCACACTTGCAGTTTGAGGGCAGTAAAACCATGATGTTGAACCACATTTTAACTGACCCCCAACCACTGCCAGTTTAGCTGAATAGTAAGCAGCTGGGGGGCAGGAGGAGAGTGTACACATGGCACCACCACTGTGGCTGTAGCAGTAATTATACCCCCTGTCACTACCACATGCAGAATGCGACCTATTCAAGCCATGCTGCAATCTTCCTGCAACTGCATGCAATTGCAGTGAATGGGTGTGACATTTTGGGGGTTAAAACACTGCTCTGACCTCCTCTTCCACCCCTCCCTACATTCCTCATACTGAAGCTCCCCCCACACTCTGCACCTTTGACCTTACTACCGTCGAGGAAGTCTCCAAGATCCTCTCTGATGCCCGCCTCACCACCTGCCCCCTCGACCCTATCCCCTCACAACTCCTACGACCTTCCTCCTCCTCCATCCTACGCTCCCTCACCCACATCTTCAATCTCTCCCTCTCCTCAGGCACTTTCCCCTCCCCTCTGAAACATGCACACATCACCCCCATACTTAAAAAGCCCTCCCTGGACCCCAATGACCCGAACAACCTCAGACCCATCTCCCTGCTCCCATTTACATCTAAACTCCTCGAGCGCCTAGTCTACACCTGCCTATGCTCTCACCTCAACGACAACAACCTCCTCGATCCCCTACAGTCCGGCTTCCGTCCCCTACACTCCACCGAAACTTCCTTACTCAAACTCTCCAACGACCTGCTAACCGCCAAAGCTAATGGCCACTATTCAGTGCTCCTACTCCTTGACCTCTCTGCGGCCTTCGACACAGTCGACCACCCCCTCCTCCTCAAAAAACTACACTCCCTCGGCCTCAGAGATTCTGCTCTCTCCTGGCTCTCATCCTACCTGTCACAACGCTCCTTCAGCGTTACCTATAATGCTACCACCTCCCCCTCACTCCCCCTCTCTGTTGGGGTCCCTCAAGGCTCTGTCCTCGGGCCCCTTCTCTTCTCCATCTATACCTCCTCCCTTGGCCAACTCATACACTCTCACGGCTTCAACTACCACTTCTATGCCGACGACACACAAATCTATCTCTCAACCCCCCACCTCACCCCCTTGGTCTCAGCCCGAATCACACACCTACTGAGCGACATATCAGACTGGATGTCGCTCCACTTCCTTAAATTGAACCTCTCCAAAACCGAGTTTCTTGTCTTCCCCCCAGCCCGGACACCACCCCCCATTGATTTCTCCATCACATCCAACAACGCTACCATCAAACCCGCCCCGCAGGCCAGAGTACTGGGTGTCATTCTGGACTCCAACCTATCCTTCCAGCCCCAAGTCCAATCTTTAACAAACTCGTGCAGACTCCACCTCCGCAACATCGCCAAAATCCGCACGTTCCTAACCCCAGAAACCACTAAACAGCTCATCCACTCCCTCATCATATCACGACTCGACTACTGCAACTCCCTCCTCACTGGCCTGCCTCGCCGCTGGCTATCCCCTCTTCAGTCCATCCTGAACACGGCTGCCAGACTCATTCACCTTTCCAACCGCTCTGTCTCCGCCACCCCCCTCTGCCAATCCCTCCACTGGCTTCCGATTGCGCAACGGATCAAATTCAAAATCCTAACGCTGACGTACAAAGCTGTCCACCATACTGCCCCGTACTACATCTCTGACCTAATATCCAAGTAGTACCGCCCAACACGCACACTCCGCTCCTCACAAGACCTCCTTCTCTCTAGTTCCCTGGTCTCCTCCTCCCATGCCCGCCTCCAGGACTTCTCCAGGGTGTCACCCATCCTCTGGAACTCCCTGCCCCAACCCATCAGATTATCACCTACTCTCCTCTCCTTTAGGCGCACCCTGAAAACCCATCTCTTCAGGGAAGCCTACCCCACCCCCTGCTAACTTGCCGACCTCCTCCACTCTTCCTACCACTCCATCCCCCACAGCTATCTCCTCCTGTGCCACCACCCCCCCTCCCTCCTAGATTGTAAGCTCGAAAGAGCAGGGCCCTCGATCCCCTCATGTTTTGCATTGTATTGGTATTGTTCTGTCACATGTTCTGTCTCCCTTTGTAATGTACAGCGCTGAGCGAACTATTGGCGCTTTATAAATACTGTATAATAATAATAATTGACAGGGCAACATATCACCTCTGATCTAGGGATGTATAGTCTCGATTTGATCCACTTCTTTCCCCCTTCTCACTTTTTCTAATAGACATTGATTGCCAACTGTATATCTTTTTGTATGGTGTGTGTCAACTAAATAAAGATTAAAAAAAAAAAAAAAAAAGCTAAACAATAAAGACTGCCGCCACACCCCTTTAATCTTTAATATTACCTATATGTTCTGCATTAATGTAATGCACCCACCCTGAACTGTATAATTATTTACCGCAAAAGACTGAAAATTGGGGAATTACACTCAACAACATCCAAAAAATTATATATTCACAAACAAAACCCTTTATATTGCAAAAATAAAAAAAAAACTTGGCATTGCATATTTAAAGGACAGCTCTACCATAACATTACAGCACACTACTGTGTGGTACCCCCACTCAGCCAACCTCTAAAGTGTTTAGGACTTTATTGAATTTCCCAGAATGTGTCCGAGATATAAAACTTGTTAATAAAGACACTTGTGGTGGATTCCTTTAGAACTACCTGCACCTAATAAAAGGCAAGTATTTGCTTCAATTTAAGTAACAATACCAACACAGGTGACACCTTCAGGTACTTCTTACTACCACCACTTAAAGAGCCTGTCACTATGTCAATGACAGATTCTTTGGGAATTACAGACAGTTTGCAGAAATAGGAAACGAGCGGTAGTTAAAACTAGCTCTGAGCTGGCATAGAGATACACCACTTCTCAAAGAAAGGTATGTCTGTGCTGTGAAGTTGACATGTGTGTCATGGTCAGATTACAATGTCCCAGCAGGGGGGATTCCTCCACTCATCTTGTTTGTATGGATGGAGGAATCTGTTTGTTTGTGTTCCGTTAGCTAGACTGCATTTGTTTCCTTTTTTAGACTTTCTTTCTTATATATTCAGTTGGTGATACTGCAAGTAAGTAGAAGTGCAGAACGAAAAAAAAAATCATTTCGCTTCATTGCATTTGTAATGGAATTTGTTTTGTTTCATTTATTCATTTTCAACTGGATTCAGATTTTTCCAATGGATTTAAAGTATTCAAACTGAAGTTGAATCGAAAATATTGAATCGATCCAAATTCATTGTGAATTGCTGGTTCTATTCTATTTGAAATTTGAATTTTAGAAGACGGAGATTTTCTCTTTATTTTTTTCTAGTCTATTGTATTTTTTTCTATTCTATTTTATTCTATTCTTTTATTTTCTATTCTGTTGTATTTTACTCTATTATTTTCTGTTTTGTTCCATTTTATTCTTTTCCAAATTGGAATTTTGGAAGACGGCTATATTCTATTCTTTTCTTTTCTATTCTATTATTTTCTATTGTATTCCTTTGGTTTTTCTTCTTTTATTTTCTATTCTATTCTGTTCTGTTTTACTATATTCATTTCTATTCTAATCTATTCTTTTCGAAATTGGATTCAAATTTCGGAAGACAGCTATATTCTAACGCTAAAACTCTTAGTCTTTAAAGGAAATCAGCAATAGTCAGCAATATGTTTATATTTCAAATTTGTTTTCGAATTTGATTTGAATTTTGGATAGAGCTTTGTTTCATTATTTCTGGAAATTCAGATACATCAAAATCGCCGGAGGAAAAAAAATTGTCTGAATTTTGATTCAGAACAAAAAACAAACTGCACATGTCTACAAGTAAGCCTGTTGTTTTTTCAACCAAACAAGCTGTCCTGCAGATGGTTAACACTGACAGGGATGCTTACAATGATTAGCTTTTATTTATGTAAATCCTTTATCCCAAAAAGGAACAAAACTGTTGCTGTAACTGCTTAAAAAGTGTGAGCTGGAGTTTGGCTTCAGTCTGTTTAGTGAATCTAAATCTGCTAGTCCGTCTAACACTGCCTAGACAAAAATGCTGCTCCTTCATCCAGTGGAGGCGCTCTAATACATGAAGGATGCTAGTGGCGAGATCACCAGGTGGAAATAGAGGGAAAATACCTAAAAAAAATAAAACTAATGCAACCATAGCTTCTTTTGATTGGTAAGATGTGCATATATAACATTTTTTGATTTTGAGTTTAATACTGTGTTTGGATCTATCGAAATTGGATACATTTTCCCCAGTCTGCATCCAGCTGTGTCATTTCCCCCCTGCATGCCAAAGAACATCATCCACATCATATTTACCAAGCATACTGGACAGGAAAACTGTCTGAATCTTTCTCTCAGAATACCCTCCTCTTTTCAACCTACACTATTTTTGTTGTTAACACAGGAGTTGAACCTACAATACACTCCACCACAGGATTCAGCCTTAACATATGCCATAAATCTGGAAGTGAAAATACAAGGCATATTGAAATCTTCATGTAGTAAATTGTTGACTTTTTTAGATCAGTAAGGAGAAGGACAAACAGAGGAAACAGGTAAAAAAAGGAATATAGAAGAAAAAAAAGGGTTTAAGAAACACAGGAAGTTGAGGAAAAACAATGATCAAGACTTTGATATAATAAACTTATCAAATAAAAAGTTGACAGGGCACCATAAAGGAGATTTTTAAAGTTTTTACTCACACAGGTGGGATAGCATTATTATTATTATTATATAGGATTTATATAGCGCCAA